TATATTTTATCTCCACAAGGTTGTGTTAAAATCAAAATATAACACTGCAGCATACAAATTTGCTAACAGAGCAAGTTAAGTTTACTTGGTAATTAATCTTAAACATGTCTGGCTTTGAATCGCCACCATAACGAAGACAATAGAAAGGAAATATAAACAAGATCTCAGGGATGTAGCTAAAGTTTTTAACAGGCGGGAATCTTGCAATGATAGGCGGGTATTTGGGCAGAAGGCCCACTTTAGCGTGCCTTTGGCACGCTACACCTAGATTTGAAGGTGTAAACAAATGAAATAAATAAATAACAATCTTCTGACAACATTTAAAAACATTTTGGAGAAAGAAGTAGTGCTTCACAGCCGGAAAAATCGCATTCACAGCCGGGTAATTTTCCCGGCTTCCAGCTATTATCTACATCCCTGAGATCTATTGAAGACAAAGTAGAATCAAGACTCTCTACATGTAAGTTCTGTTCATCAAATCTCTCAATGTTCATTAGGACCGTCATTCAAAAGTCGCAGAATGGCCTTGCTCTTCGATATTTTGCAATATTAAGTTTACCAATCGAAATGCAAATCTCTGATTACTCTCGGAGGAAATTGGAGGCTGACTTGGCTTGTACACTAAGATCAATATTGCCAAAAACAGTTTCCCCTATTCCCCCCCCCCCCTCTATTAGTTTAAAACTGTGGAATACACAAATACACAATTTGAAAATGCCTCATTAAATCCCCTTGTGTCTCCCTGGAGTGTGTCATTCCAATTTTGTTTTTATGGAGGAAAGACCAGATATACACACGGCATTGCAGGAAAAAATGACCAAACTCTCACAACTTCAAAACAAAAAATTTGAATTTACTCACAATTACTTTCCTCTCTGAACAGAGGTAAATCTTCGTACATTAATTAATTATCAATGATAGTGAATAATACTTTTCGTAAGATTATTGACTGTTTTTAAAGAAAACATTGTCGTGACAGTCCTTGCCAAACTAGTTTCTTTGTTTTTCAAAAGTGTATTTCCCCTTTTTTTTCTCACATGCTCTCTAATTGACAGGTGTCAGTTTCTGACAGATACTTGTAAAAATATTGTTTCAGAGATTGTTTGGAAGCCTTTTAAATCTCCTTTATAATTTCGCAAATGAAAATGTTTCAGTGAAGCATTTCTCCTTAATTTGCATTACCTCTATTTTAACTACCATTTACTCTCTCAAAAATTGTTCAATTTATGAAAGATCTTGCTGTATTTACAGCCCTTAATCAGTCGGGATCTTTCAGAGAGAATTTTGTGGAGTTAAAAAAAAGTAAATATATTATTTACCGGCTAAGGGTCGGTCTGTATGGTGAAAAACTGTGACCTCGGTTACATTCTTTTTTTCAAGACCTGGGATACATTCTAGCATCATTCAAGGGGTGGCGGGTGGGGAGGCTTGCCAAACATATCATATCTCTGTCTCACCTAAAAGGCCAACACATACTTTCACATTTATTTAGGAGAATCAGTTTATATTCTCTTGTTTTAGATTGAAACTATTATTTTAAAGGTAAATAACATAATTTTTATGGTACAGCCAGCACTTTGAGCTCTCCACACAACACTTAAGTTTGAAGATATTGACAGCTTGCTTTTTGCCATTTTCCTTGACCTTACAAAGGGTTACTCTACCTTCCAATCATTCTATTGTCCTATTTAAATGAAACTGTCACAGCATCTGTGTATGTTTACCATACAGTACTTGTAATTAGTCATTTTACTTTTACTTAGGAAAGTAGATTTACCACACAACTGAGTAATAGGAAGTGGTAATGCTATGAAACACAATACACTTCAACTGCAACTCTAGCTGATCAACCAAACTCACACCTCATGACTTCCATACCTGAGGACAAAACATACCAAAGTTGTTCATTATCAGTTTAAACTGGCAGTGCATGGATCAAAAAGATAAAATGACTTGCTTCATGTCCTGCCACTGACCTTGAAATTATGAGCTGCCAATGTCAGGCTCTAATGCCCAGTTGATTACTGCTCATTTTATGCCGTGTCAGGTTCTTGTTAGGCTCTCTATTGCTCTGTCCAGTTTGGCTCTTGTCCAGTTGATGTGACGCCCATGTCTGGTTCAAATGTCTGGCATTGTTTAGTAATCCACTAGTCATCATCAATTATGAGTCTGGCTCTAATGTTTAGTCATCAACAACTATGTGTCTGGCTCTTGTGTTTCTTTACAATTTATAACTGTTAAGGTACACACTCCTCTTTATTTTGGATGAAAATTACTTTTTAACACCACACCATGTGAGAAAGGTAAAAGTATTGAAACGTGCTGCTTACAGTTTCTTTAGGAGCCATCAAAAAAGTCCATTGACTGAATTAAGAATTGATGAGCTTGTGACTTTAGAGTGTTCTTGATGATATCATGAAAAGTACCAGTAGTCAACCACCTCAGGCAATCTATCATGGGGCAACATAACCACACACTAGGGTGACATGACTACAACTCTTGGGGGCATGGTAAACACAACTTGAGGCAGATGTAGCTCCAATATTTCCCTTATGCAAACCAGAAATCTGCAGCAACAAAAGACTGTGCTGGAAGTTAAATAACTGGCCAGATTTAACTTACTCTCTTGTTGTTCAAAATGAAGGTTTATTAATGTCATTACGATAAGTTTTGAGTGTTTTAGGTTATGGTTATACACAGCACAATAAAGTAAATATTAAGAATAAGTTTGAAATACAAGTGTACAAGATCTGCAAAACAACAGTTTGCACTTATCTTTCTATAGAATTATTTACAATAATGTAGCCAGTATTCACTAAGCTCAGCTCTACAATACTCATTTTGTGTCCTAAAAAAATTAATATTTTTTTCTTAACAGAATTAACCAGGCTGGTGAGGATCATTGCTGTGATTAAGCTAATCATACTGAAGTGGACTTACAGAAGTATTTTTTCACAGGTTGGTCGGATTTTCTGTTATCAATTTTTATAAAACTAACAATAGGAATAACATGCATTTAACTACTACATGTATCTTTAACATAATTTCAAGCAAAGACTTTCATTGTATCAAAATAATCTGATTGTGTAAATTTGTAGATATCATTTGGAGATACAATTGAGACCAATCATGATGATGCAAATAATGATGATTGATGTTAAAATAAACTTTAAGCCCAGATGATGTGAATAATGTGAAGCTAGACATCCTAGTGAAAAAATTTGAAGATGCACAAGCTCTTTTAAGATGATTCCTCAGAAAAAAGTTATTGAACAATTTTTTTTATCCTTTCCCTAAATGTTCCCTACCAATGTTTGTTTTGAAAACTACAATAAAAAAGATAGGTCACTGACAGTGTGTTTTTTTCGGAGCTGTAATGGGCCAAACCTGCCCCATTTATGCCTGCACTGGCACTTATCACGTGCATCATTTCATTGGTTCATGGTACATTTTGCTGCAGCTTTAAGCAAGGGTTTTTAAAGCAACACTTGATGAAAAATTGACAGGTAGAAAGTCTTGAGCATATGGAACAATTTGATATATAATCTGTGGGAAAATCACTTAAATTAAAATTTATACACCAAAATTATGCAAAAAAAATTTAGGTCACCATGCTTGTTTAAGAGCCAAACACCATTGTACCTCTTCACCTGGTCCATGGATTGAAAAATAATAATGTGTTATTGGACTGCACCCATGCTCATTCCCTGATTACATGATTTTTATGCTCAATACAGGATGTGCAGTGCAAAACTGAGGAATAACCTTAATATGGGATTAATTGAGGCATGTTGTTTTGTGCTGAATGTTCTGTTAATACAAATGATTTCATTTCCAGCAGATTTAAAGAGGGCAGGACAATATGTTCCTATGTGGAAAAATTTTTTTTACTAACATGGGTGAGTTTTATCTGTTTACATTTGAACTGAGGTGTAAACACCATGATTATAAGTTCCTAAGTTTGAATTCATATACTCATTTGGGTCTGTAGTGTATTGTTTGGTCTTTAGAGTATTGTTTGGTTGGTAGTGTATTGAATGAAGTTCCTGCAATAAGCAAAATTTAAATGAAGAAATAATTGCTTCTTTGTGATACTGTTTGCTTTTTCCAGTAATTTTTGTTATATTTTAGCCATTATAGCCATGCTAACCAAATCATTTAGTGATATGCCATGCCCACAAAGGATTCTGGGTAATAACTAAAATATGCTTTAAATGAGAAATAAACAATGAAAACTTGCCAAATATGTTTTTCTCATGATAATTACTTTAAATCTGGGAAGTGACAGTTGTTTAGGTATATTTAAAACATATTTATGAAAATGCTCCTTGTTACACCCGTGTACATGTGTATCATGCTACAAGTCTCATAGAAAAGTTTTTGTATATTTCATTTCCTATCTGGGAGAGTTGGAATTCATGCCCCCTTTTCCTTAGCATTCTTGTCTGTTTTAGTGGGAACAGTTCTTGAGGGGGATGGTTTTTTGCAGTAGTGATTTTGTTAAAGAGAGGTTGATCTTTATCTTCAAGGTCCATATCTTGTAGTCAGCCTAGGTAGTATATTTCCATATCAGTAAGCTTGTTTGTTGAAGTTGTCAATTCTACCTTTATCCTTCTGACAAGTTAAGATCCCCAGATGTCAAGGCTATGCACAAAGAAGGATATGATGAGGGAGTCAGATAACTTGTTTGGTTGATCTTGAGAATAGCTGTAAAACTTGCAAACCCTCAATATATACAATCAAGTGCTTGCTTTGGTTATTACGTTGTCATCCAGCAGCAAGGGTTTTCTTGAAATATAATACCAAGCATCTTAGGCCAGCAGTTATGTTCAATGCAAGGTACCAGGTGTGGTTTGATCACCTTTCAGATATGAGACATGCTTATGGGCAAACATGTGTTTACAAAGACTTCTTGTTGATCTCTGATGTTTATCTTTGAATTATTTTCTGATTTCATTTGTTCACTTCTAGGAAAACTTTGAACATAGATCCAGTTTGTTATGATGGCAGGACCTAGTAATGACAAATGCATCAGCTCAGTAGATTGCGGTAATGACCCTCCACCTCTGAATATTACACTGAAGAAGACAAGAGATCTGCCAAAGAAGGTGAAACATTGGAGCATAGACCATCTTCCAGTTGATATTCTACTTTTGACTGTGGAGAATTGTGAATTCTTGGCTTGTTATCATTACCTGAGAGATCCCTTTAGAAGCTATGAGCAATCCATTGGAAATGTGTACTTTGGAAAGATGGGTGAAGATGAAGGGTCAGTGAAAGTTGCCATAGTGAGGTGTTCTAAAGAATCTTCTGATCCTGGGGGTTCTCAAACTGCCACTAAAAATGCTGTCACACTCCTGAAACCCAAGGCTACCTTTTTGGTTGGTTTCTGCTACAGTTTGAATCCTAATAAAGCCCAGCTAGGAGATGTGGTGATTTCTTCAAAGCTTACAACAGATTTTAACAAAACCCCAGTGAGTAGAAATGTTGGCAAACTTATCAAAAGTGCAGCTGATGGATGGGAGGCACCATTAGAAAACCTAGAAACACGAGAAGTCAATGTATGTGATGGAGAGATTTTGAGTTGCTCTGATCTGATAAATGCTGAAAAGCCGTGTCAATCACACCCTGGGGCAATTGCAGTTGAAATGGGAGGAAAAGGTGAGAATTACTCTCATGGTTACTCTTGCTTCACATTTGTGATCATTGTGAAGAAAATTGTTTTGCCATAACAAAGATTACATGTATTTCTCATGTTCAGTGTGACTTCATGTTACCAGGATCACTCACTCAAAGCTGACCAAACCCAATTCTACAAAAAGGTCAATTAAACCTTTGTAAACTCTTGTTCATATGTGTGCTTCGGGTTTAAAAACTTATCGGCACAAGTGAAATTAGTTGGAATGATCATGTTAAACTGCACCCCCAAATTGATGAACTTTACTTCTGAGCTACAAGGTCAGAGGAGAACTTCTGGTCACTAGGCTGTAAGGCCAGGTTTCTGAAGGAGGAGAGAAAGTAAGGTTTTTTTTTGTATGGGGAGTGGTCACCTCAAGTGTACAATAGTAATGAGTATTACAGCATACCTTCCTCTTTGATGTTCTTAAGCTATACTTCTGAACTACAGGAGGCCTCTGGTCGCCAAAATATTAAGCCAGGAGGAGGGGGGTACTTAACAATGTTTTTGTAGGGGGAGTGGTCACCTCAAGTTAAACACATCTGTTGAAGACTTCCATTAGCAAAGAACAAACAAAAAGAGTGATCTGTAGGAAATGAAGCCTCCTTTGCTCAAATTAATCGTTATCATCTCCAAATAATATTATTGTTTAAATCCAATCCAATTGTTATTGCTTTTTATTTTTTTTCCATTTTTCTACCTCAGGCCTGTTTGCAGCAGCTTACGACATGAAGATAGAGTGGCTTGTTGTTAAAGGTGTTTGTGGTTTTGTACAAGGCGCTGCATCTACAAACGATTCATGGAAGACTTTTGCTTGTGTTATGGCAGCTTCTGTTGTATCCAACATATTGAGTAACTCTTTTGTGTTTGGAGACTGGCCTCATTACGGAGGTACGTGTACATTTTTGTAACGGGTTTGGTTGTGTCTTCCAAGAGATCTTGTAACTTACTTGTTTTCCTCAGTATAGACTATCGTTATCTGCTGATGAAAGCATGGAGACCAATAGTGGAATTAAATATATATCAGAAAACTGATAAACATACGCATTCTTTGTTTTTCACTCGCATTGTTGTGAAAAAAACTGAGATTTGCACAGACTCACTTTAATAGTTCTAATACCAATTTTGAAGTCATGGATAACGTTCTAAAATTCCAGATTAGAGAAGGTTAATAAGAAAATACTCACTTTCTGTGTCTTCAATGTAATTCATTAAAGAGTCACGTTGTGGGAATAAAGCCATTGTTATTATTATTATTGTTATTATTATTATTATTATTATTATTATCATTAATATTATTATTATCATGATCATTATCATTAGTCCTAAATTAAATCTTTTATCTTTGGTCTTAGGTTGTAGGTATTACAAATCGTTGATTAAACACGTTTATCAACTACCCACCTACCCCTGCCCTCCTAATTATTGTTTCCGTGTACAGACTCTTGTGTACAGTAAAATGAACCCAATTTTCTTTGTTATCCTTTCTACGAAATACTTCACTGTTACTGACCGGTTTAAAACTTTGTTGAGTTCTCTTCTCAGAAAAGAAAAGACTCTTCTCTCTTTTATTCCATTAGCGGGCTCACACGAGATTTTCATCTTCCATCAGCACTTATTTCGACTCCTGTTTGTTACCCATTTCACAAGTTTAGTAAAGTGTGTTTTAATTCTCATTTAAGTTTGACTTTCCTTTCCCTTTTGCAGACATTTCAACAGAAGAGAGTTGTAAAAGTGATGATCCTTCGGAAAATAAACGTAGAGGGCTAGCAGGTATTATAATTATCAAGTGAAGAAATTTCATATTATGCTTTCATATTATACTTATAGTGGTAGAGTGTCCGAGCGAGGAATCTGAAGGTGTTGAGTTCTATTCCTGGCGAGGACTCAAAATTGGTGCTTTGTCCCACGCTCGTGACAAGATAGTTAAACTTCTTTCCTTTCCCTTTTCTTATACCAATTTGTCATTCTTGTTCAAGAAACAGTACTACGCAAAAATTTTAAGAAATAAAAATTCATGAAGTTTTTTGTTTTTACTTTTGCCGCTTCCTTTCCCAACGTTATTGATCCATGATAAAATAAATGCTGGAAATTTAATCTTCCTTCCAATTTCAAAAGAGCTACCGACAAAGGGAAAAATAAAGGAACAGAGTGTGGGTGGGTTTTTTTGCCGGGATTGGGGGGGGGGAAAGGGGGCGGTGGCAGGGGTTAATTATCTTAATCCTTTCATGCCGAGAAAGCTGTACTTGAGTTCGTGTGATGTTAGAAACTTGGCATCGTGTGCATAGTTATTCCTTCAATAAAAGTTAAATTCCTTTTTTTAATTTTTCTTAGAACCGTTGAATGTTGAGAAGTGTCAAGAGCAGCTTAAGTCTTATTACAACACCTTTAGCAAGGTGAAAATCATTCCATGGGACGACAGCTCTTCCATTCAGATTGATGAGATCTACACACCTTTGTCTTGGGTCAGAGATCACAGGAAGCCCAGCGGAGTGACACAAGAGGAACTTGAAGACTACACCGACATGTTCAAGGAAAAACCAACACGAATGCTTGTTTATGGTCGGCCAGGAATTGGCAAGAGTACGTTTTGTAAGAAGGCTGCATATGATTGGTCGAAAGCCTTAAAAGAAATCCTAATGAACTTTTGCATTTTGCTTCTGATTAAGTTGAGAGATGTGTGTGACGTGGGAAACATCCGCGACGTTTTACGTGCGTCTAAATTGCTGGCCAGTGATGGTCCGTTCTCAGTTGATAGTCTCTATGATTACATAACTAACAATCAAGATAAAGTGCTTCTTATTTTGGATGGCTACGATGAGTACAGCTTTGCAGAAGAACACTCACCCATCCTTGAAATTTGGAAGGGTGAGCAACTAAGAGATTGTCACGTTATTGTCACCACGCGTCAATTTAAATGTGACGAGTTAAGAGGCCCCAGCCACGTTCAGTTAGAAATTCAAGGTTTCAAAAGCTGGGAACGAAAAGAAACCTTTGCGAGAAAATTTATGGCAGGTGAAGAAGATCTTGACGAGTTCATTGGGTACCTGAGAGAAAAAGATCTCGGTGACATGGCAGAAATACCTCTCCTCTTACTGATGCTGTGTACTTTGTGGAAAGAGAAACATCACGTAGGACTGCCAAAATCACGGGCCGACATATTCACACAATTCATTCAAACCATGCTGGATCACAAAGGTGGAAGTCACCAGTCTATGCCATTTCAAAAAGTGACCTCAACAGAAGCTAAAGAAGACCTTAGTAATCTTGGAAAGGCTGCCTTTGAAGCACTTCTGCAAGACCGTCTTTACGTACGCTACAGCGAACTCCCCGGCAATATTTCAAGAAGTTTTGAAAAATTAAGTGAAGTTGGGCTTTTCCAGATTGTCAATCTTGCAAGTCTCAATCCTGAGAAAGGGGCCTATTTCATTCATAAATCCGTACAGGAGTTCCTTGTCGCCTGGCACATTAAGGAGAAAGTGTTGTCGATTAAAGGAGAAAGTACGCCTAGCCTTTCCAGAGTTGAATCATTTGAAAAGATCGATAAGATGGATGAAGTTCTGAAATTTGCCTGTGAGCTGTCAACAGAAGCCGCATGCGCAGTTTTCCATCATGTGGGGTCTGTTGGAAGAAAGGAATCTGTGTCGGAATGTGATCTCATTGAGCTGCCTCTGGATAATGAAAAACTGCCTCTAAAAGAAGGACTGTCTCTAAATGAAGGACACTATCTTGAGCTTATCTCGCATAGCTACTTTTGTTGTTCGGCCAAGAAGAGGCGAGATCTCTGCTCAGTGTTTTCCTCTTACACTGGAGGTGTTTTGTCTCTTGATTCTAACAAGCTGAACATTACTGCAAATGAACATTTGCTGAAATCTGGCATGATACCCAACATTATGTTTTTTTGTGTCTCCAAATATTCTTCAGAGAAAAGCTATCGAGACCTGATCACTGTAGCGGAGGACACAAATGCAGTATTTTTGAGCTGTTCGGGTGAAAAGAAAGCCACAGATTTACTGAAGAAGTTCCCGCGTCGTTCTGTGGGCGAGTTCTTTTTGAAGAGAGAGAGAAAAATCGTCGTTTATGTTTATCAAATACGCAAAGAAAAAGATGGTAGCACTTTTCCGACCGAAATGCTGCGAGAGCTCATTTCGCTAACAGCAGAGTCTACTCAGGTGACGCGTCTTGTTGATCCGTTGAATGAACACGATAGCGAAACAGCTTCGAGTTTGACTCAGAACACCGATAGCATCACTGGTCCTACTCCTCAGAGCCTTTCCTGTGTGATGGAGATTGATATTGAAGACATAGAAAGGCAAGAGATAAAGATGCTGGCTGATTTCTTACCACTTTTCACTGTTCTGCGTCGTATATATATTTCTGGGAAATCCTTTGAAGTCATTGATGCTCAGTTGACAGAGACCCTGGTGTCTCGTATCATCTTCACTGACGTACTTGAAACATTAGAACTTTTTAATATCAATTTAACAGCCAAACCTGCCGCAGTCATCGCCAGATCTCTGCACCAGGCTCCTAGACTGCACACTCTCAGCTTGTCAGAGAACCCTCTTGGTGAGGGAGTAAGTGTTCTCACTCAACTTCTCAGCCGTGTTCCTCACCTGAAGTGGCTGACGCTTCGTAATGTTAAAATGACAAAGCAACAAGTGAATGAATTGAGTGCAGCTGTACGTCAGAGTAACATGCACTGGTTGGGCACAGAATACCACGTAAGTTTTGTGATCGTAGTTTGCATAATTGTAGTCATAATTCTTATAGATTCTGTTTAATTTCCTGTGGTGTTGTTTTAAGAATTTTTACGCCGTTGGTTCGCGGAGCAATTGCGATGTAGCTATCTCCAAGCCGCAAGAGACACTTGCGCATTTCCGGAAAACACGTGTGCGGGCAACAGTCAAAGTAGAACTGAAATGGAGCATCTTCTTTAGATTCCTTAAGAATCCCCAGGCCCCCCCCCAAAAAAAAAAAAAAAAAAAAAAAAAGAAAAAGCCCAGTCCATTATCTGCATTGCTGGCCAAAGGGTAATTCGCAGCTCAATTCCGTTCCGTTTTAATCATGCTTTCATAACATTCTTTTGTATTTTGTCGCAACAAGCCGACTCGCAAACGGTTCGTAAGAGAGGAAATCCAAAGCGAAGCAAATATTGTGGCTTTTTAATGATTTTAACGATTTCAATTAAAAAGTTTTACATTCCGAATTACTGAAAAGGCTTACATGCATGAGAACATTATACAGTCACTCTTTGTCGCTACCATTTAATCTGTTAAACTTGGAAGCAAAGCAAGTCATTTTTTTTCAGTGAAGATGAGAGCCCATTTAAGTATGTTTGTATACGTTTGAAGAAGGGTGAATTCTGAAGCGTCTACTCTGTTTTTGAGTGTCTTAAACAATATTATTTTGTGTGTCTACAGTGGAAACACAGAAATAGGATACACTTCATTCCTAATTTCATCGCATTAACCTCGATGACTTTATTCCTTTTATAATTAGGACCAGAGAAAAAAGTAGAAAATAAAGTAAAATGAAAGTAAATGCGTTACCACTCTGTGCGCGTGAATGTGAGGACGGCCGCGTGTTTTCAGATATTAATGACAGAAAGTTAATGTCAGTGTTTGGAAGAGATCAAGGGGCTACTTTCTAAACTTGTCTTAAAATTGAGGAAATCTGCTAGGACTGGTTTTCGACTTTTGTTTATTCGTTTAGCTATTCTTTTCCTTCGGAAAATGGTCTTGATTTCCGTAAGGGCAACAGAATGGAGGGAGTAAACAATTGCTTGTACTTACCATGAACTGAGCATCTGCCTGTAAGAAATGATTTGAAACCCTAGTTTTTTCACTTTGTTTTATTTACAGCTCTTAGGAGTTGTTTAACAATGTCATACTTTAAAGCTGATTCAAGCTTCTCTCTGATGGAGGAAAAGCTAAACTTCAAAGGAAATGTGGTGTGTTTCTGGACGCTCTGAGAAAAAAATTATAATACCTGAGTATTCCCTTAGCAAGAGCTTCTGGAATAGTATTTGGGAGTTTTGTAGAAGGAAGGTTAGCATAAATCTGTAAATTTTATTTGATTGATTAACTCAGTGGTTTACTATATCAATTAGGTTTTGAAAAAATGCTGTAAAGGCACCACAGAATTTTTTCCCTTAAACTTCCTTTCACACAGATTTTCCTCTTCTCCCTCTGGTCCTAACCAAAAGTTACCAGGAACATTGTTGATTAGAAAAGAAATGACCAAGGGCTTCCACTTGAAAAGTAGTAGAGAAAGAATGCTACCACTGTAAGAGAGATACTGGTTCAAATTCGCAGGCAGAGATTCTCTAATGTCAATGGTTTGCAGTTACTTTGATCAATCATGTTTTTATCCTACTCTATCCAAAGAATTTCATGTTAATCAGCCTGTGTAAAAATAGCAATGAAGGTTACATCTGCCTGAATCAAACTTGCCCTAACTGGTAATGTCTTTACATTTTTTATATTAACTTACTAAGCAGACTGCTAAGCTGATGAGCTGCTGAACTACAAAAATATTGCAGCATTTGAAACGCTCACAAATAATGTCCACTTTTGCAGTTTCCCAAGTTTGAAAATGAGTATTAGCTGTGGATGAGCCACTAAGTAAATATTCACAACCTTTAAAGAGGAGTCATCAGCAGTTCCTCGTTCTCACATGAACTACGGAGCCTTTTCCTTAAAAGGTTACCTTTAGTTGTATTCTCTGCATGGGCCTGTTAGGTCAAGCACCTATAAAACTCTAGGAGAGGTGGTCACTTTGATGTTATGTATATTTTTTGAACACTTCAGCTTATTTCTCTAATAACATAATTAGTATGGGCCCCACCATGGATGTAATTGGAATATATCTAAATTTTGGTGAGCCTTGTGATGTTTGCTTACAAGGAACGTTCCTTAATATAAAAGTTGTTTTAAATTGACTCAGTCAAACATACTCATGGCATAATTTCTCTTCATATAAAAAGTAACCAGGGTAAAGAAGTTTGAGTTCAGGTTATGTTGTTTGACAAGATAATGTTGATTGTTGGTTTGTGATTTATCACAGGATCACAAAGGGAATGTCAAACCTGAAGAAGAATGGCCAACAGATGAGTTCTGGAGTGGTTATTGGAGCGAATCAGAAGAAGAGTCAGATCCTGGGTCAGTTACTGACTCAGGTGATTAGGAGGAGCCTGGGTCGGTTACCACCTCAGGTGACGAGGAGGATCCTGGGTCAGTTACTGACTCAAGTGACAAGGAGGATCCTGGGTTAGTTACCGACTCAGGTGACGAGGAGGATCCTGGGTCAGTTACCGACTCAGGTGACGAGGAGGTGCCTGAGCATATAAGGAAAAGTATGGGGAAAGAAACATGGTCGATTTGCTATGATAAATATTTCGAAGTATGAACATTTCACAAGTAAAATCATTAGAACTTACTCACATCTTGTGTGTCCGTCGTGGTTTCCAGTGTTCTCTACTGTTTTAAGCTTGTTTTGCCGTCACTGTTATTCCTATTCCCCATATACCGAGTCACACAACGTGTGACGACTTCATGAATAAATTGTTTGCGTTTTCTCGAAACGTGAGCTTGGGACGCCTGTGGTTTTATCCACATTGTAGTCACTGGCTGTTTCAGGCCTGCTCTGTTTGTGCAACTGCTCACGTGAAGTCTCATGCTGCAATCCATCAAGTAGAAGAGGATAACGGGATTTATGGGACAGCATTGAAAGTCACCCACCCCACCCCAACCCCCCCCCCCTCCAACTCACCACGAGGCCTCTATTTCTCATATATCTCCTAATAGTATCTCAAGATTTCCAATTTCCTGTCCTTCCTTCCTTCTCGGACTCTAACCTCCAAATGGTTTTCTGTTAGAAAAGCCTCGGTCAAATTCATCAATTTGCAAACTATAGTGGAAGGGGGACCGTGGGATATTTTTGTAATCTCCAAAATCCGCCATTTTTTTATTTTTGAATTGTGACGTAATGAAAAAATGTTTTAAGAATCATGATTGAAATGTATTCCATGAAACGAGAAGGAGAAAAAACATACAGTGAAGGAAGTAAATTGTGTACTTGTACTGAAATGAAGAGAATGCTGTGATCTGGTCAACGGCACATGAACGGTGTATCAGACCGATTACAAATTGACAAAACATCCCGTATAGCCTGTCAAAAAAATAAAACTGAGGAACTGGCTGATATTTACTGTATGCCACGTTCTTGAAAGATTCCGAAATTTCAACTCTTACGCAAAATTTCCTAGCAATGTCAAGACGAGAGGGTCCGTCAGTTTTTTCTTAATGACTGTTTATATCTATTACTTCCTGGTTGCGATGTTGCGTTATTGTTGAAGGAAAGCAACCGAGTAACACCCACGCTCCTATCATGTAACTCAGGCTCCTCAATTTTCTCTTTCCTCACTTTCTTAATTAATAGACATACAAGGAAAATCTGTTTCTATTACCACTTTATTTACAACTTTTTAGCCTTCAACCACAGCGAAATCAATACAGGTTGATAGTTTAATAGCTGGCCCCCCTCGATTAATCGTCCTCCTTCCAATAAGCGCCTCTCCTTTTAGCCGAAATTCGAAATGAGCGCGGAAATAAGGTATTTAATCGGGTAGTAGAGGACGATCCTTCACCAGATGCTCTTATTGCCACATTTACCAATAAAAGCTCGTATACTAGGAAAACATTGTTTATTATTTCCTTACGGAGGTAGGCAACCCTCTCATTTTAACTGCATGCTATCGATGGACTGAGATGTTAACAGAATGACAAACCTAGTGAAATAGTTTCTTTCCTAACACTCGGTGGAAGATCAAATTTGAAAATGATAGAGCTGCACTTTAATTGAAAACTAAAACTTGACAATCGGCCAAACAATTTGTCAACCAAAACCATGCATGAAAACGGATGGAAATGTGCGACGCTCCATCGAAATGTGTCAAAAATGTTTTAGGAATGTTATCAAGAGGAGATGAGATTTTTATTAATTTGAAAATCGAAGGTGACTGACCATACGGAAGTCGTATTATGAATTTATAATAAATAATATTTAGGGCAAGGTTTTCTATACTTTTGCTTTTGAACTCTTAGCTTTGCAATGGCTATATTTAGTTTTTTTTCACTCGACTCACTATTATAGTTTCATAGAAGCTATTTAAGTAGGATTGGCAAAACTTTACATTTGCATTTTCCCTCGGACTTATCATTACGTATGAAAAACTTAGTCTGTAATCAAGTGCACTTTCAAGAAGCGGTAACTTTCAGGAAGTCATTTTTTACCCCGTTAAGTGTATCGCGTGCACGCAAACATTGACTCCTCGAAAATATCACAGTGAGTATTGGAAGGACATGATTTGATAAGCACATTCCAGAACACATACGCGGAAAAGCTCTAATTGCCGTGCTTGTTCAGACTTTTAATGGTAGTAAGACTTGCTTGGAATTTTAAAGATAAACCAGTGCATCGAAAAAGATGTAAATGTAATCTTGACTCGAATATCAAGGTGAGCGATGCTTTACATAGAACTCTTAATCTTTAATTTATGTTTATTAAAAATTAAAGTCTCATTTCTTGAAATAATTTAAGTCTTATCGGTCTTTTTAAGCACGTCGTTTTCTAATTCGAGGAGGGAATTTCCTCCGTGATATCTTGAAACAAATCACGTTCCTTTTCGGTTATTAGATAACGGCATAATATGTGATTATCGTAGTCG